ATATATATATATATATATATATACACACACACACAATCAAATTTATTCCTGTTACAACCCCTTGGAGATAAACAAAGGGTAAAAATGACAAAAGTAAATAAAATACAAAAATATTTGATTTAGTACTCCAAGTATATCCCCTAAAAGCTATGTAAATAAAGGTAACAAAGTCAGTTGTTGAAAATAATAACAATAAAATTATCTTTATTAGAGTTTATTATAAGCTTTTTTGATTAAATAAATAAATCATTTTTGAAATACAATTAAATTAGCTCACCACTTGTATTTTTATTATTAGAATAGACTGCTAAAACCTGGATTTAAATTTCAAAAATTATAAAATCCAGAAGTACCATGAAGCAGAAAACAAAAAATTTTGTGTAATTAATAATAGCAGAGTAATGTTCTACTGGACAAGCTAAAACACTGGTGCATTTAAAGTGTTTTACAAATGTTGAAACAACTCTATTTATTCAAAGCTTAAACACTGTATTTCCAATTAGTTTTTATGTTTGCCTGAAAGGCATAGTTGTTTATAACCTTAACTTGAATGAATTTTTGAATAAGTCATCAATCTGTCATCTGGTTTGACTATTAATTATCATGTACAAGAAACTTTCGAACAGCTAATTCAGCTATTGATGTTTATAAACAAGAAACAGTCAATAGATGACTAAGATTAATATACAAGAACTAATGAGTATTTGGTTGTTCTGTTCATAGTTAGATACTAAAAATCTGTATCTCGTGGTGCTGTTGATAATTACAGACAAGAAAAAATCCATACTTGGTTGTCCTTTCAGGTACATTTACAAGAAATGGTGATAACAATAAACACAATAAATCAGTACCTGGTTGTAGTGTTGATGCTATCTATAAATAAAAAATAATCAGTACTTGGTCATATTTTTGATGCTTTACACAAAATGTAACCAGTACTTGAACATACTGTTGATGGCTATACACCAGAAAAAATCAGTACCTAGTCATAGTGTTGATTTCATACACAAGAAGTAATCAATATCTAGTGGATGTGTTGATGGTGCTATACACAAGAAATAATCAGTACCTAGTTGTGGTGTTGATGCATTTCTTGTGTATATATAGCATCAACACCACAACTAGGTACTGATTATTTCTTGTGTATATATAGCATCAACACCACAACTAGGTACTGATTATTTCTTGTGTATATATAGATCAGTACCTAGTTGTGGTGTTGATGCTTTATATACACAAGAAATAATCAGTAACTAGTTGTGGTGTTGATGCTATATATACACAAGAAATGATCAGTACCTAGTTGTGGTGTTGATGCTATATATACACAAGAAATAATCAGTATCTGGTGGTATTGTTCATGCTATACACAATAAATAATCAGTACCTGGTCATATTGTTGATAGCTATGCTCAATAAATAACAAGTACCTGGTCATATTGTTGATAGCTAAATGTAATATATAATCAGTTTCTGATCATACCATTGATGGTTGTACACAGTACAAAATCAGCACCTCATAATATTGTTCATGGCTATGCAGAATATACATTTAGTATCTCGTCATATTGTTGATAACTATATAGAATATACAATCAGTACCTGGTTATGTTGTTGTTGGCTACACACAAAAAATAATCAGTATCTGGTTATATTGTTAATGTTATACATAAGAAATAATATCTGGTGGTACTGTTAATGGCTATAATAAAAAAATCATCAGTTCTTGGTTACATTGTTGATGCTATACACATGACATAATCAGTATTTGGTCCTACTCTTGATGGCTATATACAATATATAATCAGTACCTAGTTATATTGTTGAGGTTATACATGAGAAATAATCATTATCTGGTGGTACTGTTGATGTTCTACACAAGATATAATCAGTACCTGTTTGTATTGTTGATGGCTATACACAAGGAACTCAGAAGAATTTTAGCTCGGTTCTCACTAGCTATAATGTCATTGCCGACTGTTGGGCATAAAACAATAAAATCTCTTAACCCAAACCTAAACAAGTCAAAAAAGAAAAATAATCACTTTATAAGAAGACAAATACATAATACAAGGTTAAAATCACAGCAAAATTGTTTATTCTTATTTCTCAAAATAGAATTGTTTTAAAACAAATGTAAGTAAAAGATTATTAACAAAATTTAAGATTCAAAAAACCTATCACAACCACGATGATATGTAATTAACATTAAGAAACTAATAATTGCAATAATACCATATTATCTATTACATCACTTTCTTGAAACTTAACAAACACAAAAAACAAATTGAATGACAAGATCTACATTTGTAAATATTACTCAATACATCAAAAATAGATCCCAAATACAAACAGTACATTAAGTTCTCAAACCTTGTAGTTCTAATAAAACATACTATGTAATGAAACCAGAAAATAAATTGAAAGTTATAATTGTCCTCAACTGAAAATGTATTTTCAATAGGTATTTACCTCCTCTGATGTACATAGCTATTCTCATGCAATGCTGCCCTCTATATGCAAATCTTTTTTATGCATGCCACAAGCCTTCTATCTCCCCTCCATTGGAATTGACTGATTCCAACGTGTCTCTCATGCAAATCATCATGCGTCAATCCTCCACCAATAAGAGTGCGACATACTCTCATGAGGCATGTGATTCCCTCTATTAAATTCACCCAAACTATCACTTTGAGTTTTGGCAAAAGATGGGAACACTGGTTTTCAGTTAGGAGGAAGGGTGAGAAAAGATAAGTACCTATCAAAAATACATTTTCAGTGTAGGAAAATTATAATTTACGATATGGTACGTTACCTCTACTCACATAAATAGCTAGAAACCTCGTGTGTAAAGCTAGAGACGAAGATGACTAATGAACCAACATGGAGGTAATATGGTATCGTAGAAAAATGGGGAATTGGATAAAACATAACATACCTGAGAAATCATGTCAAAAAATGCTGTATTAGACCTAGCTGATTCTGCAGGAGGGGTAGAGAAAAATATGGCAAAATCAAGTGGTGTAAAAAGGCTTCTTCGGCCCAAACAGGTTCGGCTTGCTCAGGAGGATTTGTGGAGCAAGTTGAAGAGAAGAAGGTTTACCCATATAAAAATCAATCTTACAATGGATAATAGTAGAGAAACCCAATGACAGGTCTCCCCCACCTGTAGCCTGTGAAATAGCGCTAGAGGTATAACACCCGAAGTGGAAACATGAACCTCAGAATTCATGGTAGAAATACGTAAATCAAACAAGTGTCTGATGTAAAATATGCAAATGTGAGTAAAAAAAAATAAAGATGGGAAGTTAAGTTAAATTAAAAGATTTCTTCAATGTAAAGAAAAAATAATAATGAAAAAAATCCCACTTTGGAAATCAGACTATTAAAATTACAATTCACATAACGAGCACCAAAAGACAAAATGTCTGAACACAAGTATTGCCAAACAAAGAGTGATAGTTCAATAGAATTTAATAGAGGGAGTCACATGCATCATGAGAGTATGTTGCACTCTTATTGGTGGAGAGTTGATACATGACAATTTGTATGAGAGATGCACTGGAATCAGTCAATTCCAATGGAGGGGATATAGAAGGCTTGTGGCATACTTTAAACTTTTTGGCATATAGAGGGTAGCACTGAACAAGAATAGCTATTTATGTGAGAGGAGATAATGTACTACATGAGAATTTTCAATTTTATGTTTCAAATTTATATTATACCACAGAAATGTATTTTCAAGAATTTAAAAAGAACTTTTCTAAGACAAAGTGATCCTAATAATTCATGGCACTAACACTTACCATCTAACAAGACAATGGGCTCTTGCTGGAAAATCATTCTCTCTTGATATGATGTCTTCTATTGCACTAGACAAGACTTCTGTGCAGAAACACAGATAATTAAATTTGAACAGCTCACATATTCCCCTATTTAAAATATGTATATAAAAAGTAATACAACATATATGAAGTTGTGGTAATAAGAAATATATAATTCTCATCAATACTTTATACAAGACTTTTTTACCCTCTGACTGCTATTTATTTACATTAAAAACATTTTAAATTTGCTTCTTGATTTGCCAAGATATCACTGAACTTGTCAAACCCACCATACAAGCATCTCCTCTCTTTTTCTAACTTTTGACCCTCCTTTACATGAATCTGTATCATGTTATCTTGATTTTCTCGTCTAGATTATTCACTCATTAGATGATTCTTGTCCCATTAGCATAACAGTGCTATTCTAAATAACTAAAGGAATTTTTTAACCTTTTAATTATAGTATTTTGGGGGTATTTCATTATAGTGATTGACATATTTTCTGCATTCTAAAATGCATATTTGAAAGCAACATGAATTCTTTTTTTATAGAATTGATAAGAATTTTACAGCAAATATTCATTCATTAGTTAGCCTGGCAGCATTTTTTGTTCAACCTGGAGCATGATGGTGGGTAAAACAAAATAGTAAGGTGCCATATTAAGTTTCGAAAAGCTTATAAATGTTCCTTTGCCAAGGTTTCTGAATGAAGAATGAGGATTTCAAAGACTTATTTACACATCCTGATTCACACATCTTTTTTTTTATGTGGTGCAGTGGTTTCTTGTTTTATGGCCCATCATTTTAGCCTGGCTTTAGTAGTCTAACCATTAATTTGCTTTCTACACGCATTAATTGTCATCATTACATGGCTGTTTAGAGGGTTCTTGCTCAATGGTTATCTCACACTAAACTGAACTCTCAGTTAGCTTTTCCCTGTGATGGATTATTCTTGAGTCCAAGTCTCAAGTTGTGCCTACTAAATACCTTATTCATTTGAGATTTTATTTACTGTCTGTTACATGTGTTCAGTCAAATTGACTAACCCTGTATCTGTGAAGTTATACATAGTAATGTTTACTATAATTCTGAATTTACTATGTACATATTTATAAAATGTGGTAAGCTTTTAGTAAACATCACAAGTCTGTTGTACAGACAAAAAACCTATTTTTTGATATAGTATTTTCACTAAAGATTTTAATTTTTGAAGCCTTTACAGAGTCATTCTGAGTAAAGGGTTGTTTTCATGCTAAGAATAAATACACATCTTTTCATCTTTCTGAGGCCTGACATGGCCTGTTGGTTAGGGTGCTCAACTTGCCATCTGCAGATCATGGGTTCAAATCCTAACACCAACCACAGTCATCCTTTTAATAGCATACCTTACATAGGGAAATCACAAACACTGATTCTCATCTTGAACCATAATTGTTGATGTATATTTCTTTGGAAATTTGCTCTGTGTTTAACACTGCACATTACCAAAAAAGGCTCCACAAAGAAAGGATAAATAACCAGAAACAGATGAGATAGAAAAGATCAAAGACCAGTCTCCAATCTTGTGTCGTCTTTGGCACAACAAAGTGATGACAGCGTAAGTACTGAGGAAACATGTAGTACAACATCAATATTCCCTTCTGGTGGAAATGTATCAAAACTGACAGATCCAAATTCAAAAGTTAGGATGAAGGAGTCATCCAAAACAGAAATACAATGTCTGAGTAATAAAATCCACCTTACTTACATCAATGCTAGGCCACACTAAAAGTATAAGATGTAGCAAGCATTTATAAATATTACACACTAGAAGGGAAGGAATCATGGAGAGAAGCAATATGAGATAGGGACCTTGTAAACAGCCCAATGGATGAAAGTGTCAAAGGAATACAAGAGTAACATGGTAACAGAAACAATAACAGTGAAACCAAAAGGTAATGAAAAAGTCAGTAAGATCCTGATTAAAAGAATCAGGAAAATAACTACTAATGGTGGAGAAATCATAGCATTCAGGGCAGAAAACTTAAGATCAAAGTAAAAACAAAAACATGTGGGAGACCCTCCCACCCTCCAAGAATCAAACTGAGAGTCAGAAACTTGAGAAGGAAGAGTAGAAGGGAAATATCAAACATATGAATACTGGTTTAGTTTTGAAACAAATTTGTGATTCCAATATCAGGAGAAGGTGGGAGAAAAACAAGAATCAAGTGCAGAAATCATCTCCATGATATAAGCACCTTCAGCTATAATGAAAATATGTTCAATATTGAAAATGTATAACATACCAGAGTGAAAATGAAATGAGAAGACCCACTGACGTGTCATTAGGATTAAGGCTAGCACTGTAGCAGACAAACCCAGCTCAACATATTCTGAAGACAATTAGGTTTGAGTGACTGACCTTCATCAAAAACAAAAGTAAATGTCGATTGTTATACAAGTTAAGTATGCACATGATAATAATACCCACCAGAAATATCATTATATACCAGCAAGAATACACTGACCCATCATAGCTGACATTGCAGCTACAAGGCTTTCAACTAAGTTCTAGAAATTCCAGTAGTGGCAGAAACAGTTGCATCATAACAAAATGAACAACATGACTGTCAGCAAGAAATTTTAAATTTTGGTAGGAAAGTAGAGCTTGTAAGATCCCCTGATACTTGCACAATAAGTTAAGTGGAAGGTGAGAGTGTGGAGAATTATGAGTAAGTGCCACGTGCTTTGCAAGGTGTAAAGAACATCTGGAAATTTTTAGGTCAAACTCAACAAGGAATTTGAATCAATTCCTTGTTGAGTTTGAACTAAAAATTTCCAGATGTTCTTACATTATAAGAACATTATAATTATAAATTACAGAAGACTACCTAATAAAATCATTAACTGGTTATAGGATACGAAAGTACACAACATATGAGACTAATAGAAAATGTTAGACTGTCTGACTTCAGTACACTTGAATTTTAAAATATAGAACTTGATATTACTTTTACATCAGGCTACATTTAAAGTGCTGTGGTCAGTTTAAGTCTTCTTATTATAAGACAGGCAAACACTCAGATAAATAACAGAAGAGGGTCTACAGTAGAAATAACTTAAACTGTAAAATAACAGTAAATCACTTGACTTTTACTCACTAAAAAATGAACTAAGATGTATAAAAATTTCATATTGGTATACTGTTGAAAAATGAAATAATGATGTAAATTTTGTTGTTAAGCAGGATTATTCCTTTATCAGTTATTATTTTTTATAATATACCTTGCACATTGGACTTAAGTAACAAACTGATATTTTAGATTTTACCATACACACTGCTACATCAAAAATATATTATAGTTAATGTGACTTTTAAAAAGAACATGTTTTGAAATTCAAAATTTTAAATAAACAACCAATTGTGGAATATGTTTTAACCAAGTTCATCAACATTCTATACTTAGCCATACATACCTTCAACTTGATCTTCCAGCTCATCATTTTTTATCTCAGGTTCTACATCCCGTTTTAAATAGTACCTTGTCATCAAGAATCTAAAATTGGCAAACATTACATCTTCACAAGCTTCTTCCCACTTGCCATTTGTAAGTTCTTCCTAAAATGTGAAAACATTTTTTTTTATTGCCTCACATTAAATCATTAAAATTTTAAACACTTTAGTCATTAAATATACCTTTACTTATAATTAATATATTATAAAATATGTGATAATTAAAATTTATTTCACAAAATATACCTAAACTGTTTTTTTTAATGAAAAATACAGAAATATATTTGGTAATTATTAATCTAACATTTTTCTTCCAAAGTACAAGTTTTTAAAAGTTTTTGTTGTTATCAAATGATTTTTTTAAAGTTCAAATTCATTAAGCATAGCAGTTAGGAGGTTGGTCTAGTAGTTTTGTATGGGATATGAAAAAAAAATTAAACTAGCAGTTTATTGTAAGTTTTAATGTGTGGGCTAATCTAATTTTTAAAGAAAATGTATAAAACTAGGTTACACTTTCGATTTTGTTTAATAGTTTAATAAATAATACATTACAGATAACTCAGGTCATTATTGTTATATAATGAATCAAGTTCTTAGAAAGTTTTATAAATTACTTTATACAAATTGGTTTAAATTCAAAAATTTTTGCTGTACTATTTACTAGTAAATATTCTTGTATGTTCAAAAATATTTTTTATGTAGTGGTATCCTTACAAGATAAAACGTCAACAAATACTAGTATTATATATAATTGTTTTGCACATTATCGAATTAATAAACATAATAACATTCTTAAATAAATAGTTAAACCAGCTTTCATATTTCTGTAATTTTTGTTCTAGTTCTTAGATGCATTCAGGTACAACAGTGGTAAATTACCTACTTAAAGATTATTTAGGTGAATATCAGAAGTGAATTTTAGCTGGTATGCAGTACTGACAAATGATTTGTGGCAGTATTGAATATTGTCATCAAATATGTAATACCAAATTATACACTTTTTAAGAGTCCAATTTTTTCTATACTTTAAATTAAAATCCTAAATTATGGAACATCAAAGGATCCTAGTGACCCATCAAGGAGGTCCTAACTCCCTACCTCTCTCAACAGACTAATCACCAAATCCAAAATTAATACTCCAAATATTAATAAACCCTTTTCTTAAACTTCTGTAAAGTTACATTATTTAGCACTCTAGTTAGTAATTTTGTGCCTGTTTTAGGTCTAGTGGT